GCCCTCCGCTTCCCCCTTGGGACAGTAATTACGGCAGTAATTAGGAAGACAATTATTCCTGCTGAATGGAAACAGCTTAATCTGTTTCTCCCTCCTTTTGGCAGGTTTCACCCCACGCCCGCCCACGGGTGCTGGTGGGTGCCACCCAGCCTGGGGCCCGGAGCCCTGCGCTGCTGTGGATCCGGATCCCCGGCTGGAAGCCTGGAGGGCTGTGAGCCGTGTCCCATTCCCAGGGAATGCTCCCCACACCAGCACGATGAAGCTGCCAGGCCCCGACGTGCTGCCAAGAGGAGGGGGCTGCCGGGGGGGCACAGGGCATGGCTCAGGGCAGGCAGTCCTGTGGGACCTTCAACAGCCACGATGGCTCAGCCCCATGTGCAGGTCCATCCCATCTGGGATGCTCTTTGTCACCCATGAGGGAGCACGGGAGAAAGGGGTGAAAGGGCACAGCACTCTGCTCTGGCACAGCCTCTCCCTAGGCCCTGCACCACAGGGAGTGCAGGGCAGTGGTGCTGCAGTGTGCCATGCCCCAGCTCTTCCCTGGCTGATGGCTGGGCCAGAGGCAGCAGCTTTCCATGCCCTGGCATGGCACTACCATCCTCACTGGTGGCAGAGAGGCCAGTGCTGACCTCCCTGTGCCCATCCCCATGATAGGCTTGTCCCCAGGAGACTGTGGCTGCTGCTGGTGGTGTCCCCAGTCCAGCCTGGGCATGCCACTGCCACCCAGCTGGGCTCCCCGAGAGCCACTCCAGGACAACTGTCCCGTCCTACCAGTCCCCCTGGCTCCAGGGATGTGGCCAGGATGCCATTGGGGAGGCTGGGCCCTGCCTAGGTGTGGCTCATTACCTGCATGGCAGGAATTACCTGGGCTCAGGCGACAGCCCTGCACCCTCTGCCCCACCCGCACACCTTAAATCCCAGCCCACCACACCCAGGGCCAGACCTGGCCATCCAGGGCACCATGGAGCTGCTGCCTGGCTGCCTTCTCCTCCTCCTCCTCACTGCCCTGCTCCCCCTCACCACACGGTCCGGCCCGGCCCCACACGGACATGGACGAGAAGACCTGGGGATGGGTAAGTGTGACCAGGGCATGGCCTGGGGACAGGGACACCTGAGTGCTGTTCTTGGCCAGTGCTCCCCTCTGCCCCTGTGCTGCCAGGTGCCTGCAGGGGTCTGGGGCTGTGGGTGCCTAGGGTCTGGCCCTGGGGCACTGGGGGGCTGCTGAGGCCCCTGCTCAGTGGCCCTCCCCAGCGTTCTGGCCACTGTGTCCCACAGCAAAGCCTGGGTACTGCTACTACATCTCGGAGGTGGTGGAGGACCCGCTGGATGAGGCCTGTGGTGCCTGCCGCAGGGACGCCTCCTGTGCCCGCTGCACCAGCGATGCCGACTGCCACGGTGTCACCAAGTGCTGTCCCAGCAAGTGCGGCTACACCTGCCAGGAGCCAGTGCTAGGTGAGGGGTTGGTGCCGTGGTGGTGGGGCTCTGGAGCAGCAGGGGGGGGTGACTGGAGGGGTGTTAGTTCACGCTGGGAAACAAGCTGGGAAGGGAGGTCCCTGGGGTGCTCCCGGGGTCGTGCCAGGTCCTTGCAGACCACGAGGGGCAGCACACTGTGCAGTGGAGGAGCACCCCAGCTGCTGGTGCATGGGGCTGTGGGCTGCTGGCACAAAGGGTTTGGCAGTAAGAAGGGACTGGAACTGTGCAGACCTTTCCAGGGGCCTGGCAGCACTGAGAGTGGTGGCATCCCTGTCCTGCCCCGGCTCAGCCTGTCCCCTTTGGACCATGCAGACTTCTGCTACCTGCCCTCGGTCTGTGGGAACTGCAAGGCGCTCTTCCGCCGCTTCTTCTTCAACGCCTCCAGCCAGCAGTGTGAGGAGTTCATCTACGGCGGCTGCGGCGGCAACAGGAACAACTTTGAGACCAAGGGCGAGTGCTCCCAGGCCTGTTCCCACGTCGGTAACTAGCAACGTGCCGTGGGCCGTGTGCCACAGATGGAGGCTGCTCCTGGCCCCGCTCCTGACACCCCATGTCTCTGTTCCAGGTGACTGATAGTGCTGGCCCGGGGGGTGTAGTGGCCTCTGCACAGCCCCAGCCCAGGGGAAGCTGCTGCTGGTGGTCACATCCCCGACCTTGGAGGGAACCATTCCCTGCAGGGCTGGTGGCAACGAGTGCTGTTGGCTGGGGTGGCCTTGCTGGGGGGCTGCGGCTTGACTGGGGATGCTCACTGGCTCGATGACAGGGACATGTGCCCCACAATGATAGCATGGCTGCCCCTTCCTGTGCCAGGGTGCCTGACCAGAGGAGCCCGTCCCTCCCCTCAGGCTGTGACACTTCAATACAAGGGTGGGTCCTTGGAAGAGCACGTCTGGGTCTCGTCCTTCCTGCTGGAGCAGGCAGTGCCCATCCCTCTTGTCTCTCCTCCCTCACGGGGACTGGGTGATGGGTGCCTCCAGCAGCATGGCATGGTGGCCCCGGGGCTCACCCAGCCACCACCCTGCAGCTCCCCCTGCCTTAGATGGCCTCCCAGCCCAGCCTTGCCCTTGAGCTGCTGATGTGACCTGGCTGGGAGCTGAAGCCACTGAATGGAGGAGGAATGGCCACCAACTCAATGGGTGCCCCTCCCCAGCCTGCCTTGACCCAGGTCATTGTCTGCACTGCTTCACTGGCCCCTTGGCACCAACTCCAGCAGGGGCTAAGCACCCTGCCCCCGGGGATGCTCCTTCCCTGGGAGCCACAGTTGATTCCAGGCTGCTCCAGGAGCATGTGGGGCAGCTGGAGGCGGCCAAGTACACACTTTATTGCTGGAGGTGGTGTGGAGGGGACAGGCCAGCTGGAGCCTGTGACTGTCCCACGTCCGCTAACGAAGGTGTCTTCCTGCTGCAGAGGAGCTGCTCTCCCATCACGCAGCATCTGAAAAGGAGGACGTGCTTTTAAGGGAGCCACAAGGCTGGAGAAGTGAGGGACCAGTGGCCATGTTTGCAGCCATGCTGGCCAGCTCTGTGAGAGCTTCATCCTGCTCCATGTCACTTGAGATCCCCTCGCCCTGAAAGTGCACCTGCTGGGAGCAGAGCAATGGGGCAGCAGCGGGAACGGGCCTCACGATGATGCTGAGCTGGGAGCGTGCTGAGGGCTGTGCCCTTCACACGGGTCTGGTTGACACCCTGCATGACCTGGTGCCAGCCCTGGTGCTGGCCCCATCCTTACCACTGGACACCCGTGTGCAGACGTGGCCGCAGCCGTTGCTGCAGCACTTGTGGCCCCAGGGACACTCCTCGTCAAGGCTGCACAGGTCCAGGCACGACCCGCGGCCCCTGGGCACGGGGCACGCTCCTCCTCTGCCTGCAAGGCAGAGCACCCTGCCGTGGGGCAGCTGGCTGGAACGCCCCACATGTCCCAGGGAAACGCCTGAGTTCTCTGTCTCACCTCCGGGGGTGTCCTTGCAGACGCGGCCACAGCTGGTGCGGGTGCACCTCTGGCCCCAGGGACACTGTGAGTCGGCCTCGCACTGCTCTGTGCACCGCTCGGCACCGGCGCCGTGTCGTGGCACAGCCGCGGTGTCACGCTCTGCGGGCAGGGCAGGACGGTCACCTGGTGACTCTGAGCTGAGGCTGTGTGTGCTCATCACTTGCACAGAAGGAAGGGGAGGCATGGGAAGAAGGACAGGGGCAGATCATATCCCTGGAAGCTGTGGGACCCCGCAGGCACAGCCATCTCAGCAGAACCCCCACGAGTTCACAGCACGGGATCCTCACTGGGATTGGAGGGCCAGGATACCCCAAGGAGTGGGTGCTGAGGGAATGCTGGGCTCCATCCCCACAGGGCAGAGGGTACAAGAGGCTGACCTTGCAGAGAGGCTGGCATGCAGACATGGCCACAGCCGTTACTGCAGCACTTGTGGCCCCAGGGACACTCCTCGTCGAAGTTGCACAGGTCCAGGCATGTCCCCCCTTCCCTGGGGATGGGGCACACTCCCACTCTGCCTGCAAGGCAAGTACCCAGCTGAGGGGCACCTGGCTAGGGCACCTCACAGTGGGGCACCCCAGAGTGGCCCTGCATGGCTCCCAAAGGGCCTGGCTGGCTCTTACCTCCAGGGATGTCCATGCAGACATGGCCGCAGCCGATGCTGGTGCACCGCTGTCCCCGGGGACATTGTGAGTCGACCTCGCACTCCTCCAGGCACTTGCCATCAGCGCTGTCCTGGCTCTCTGCAGGGGCACACGGAGATCCACTGTAACCTGGCCACCCTGGGGGGGCTGGAGCCAGCTCCCCCCAAACAGGCTGTGCCTGCTACCTCTGGGCACGGCCATGCACTCCCAGCCGCAGCCTGTGTCGCAGCACTTCTCCTCTCGCCGGCAGACACTGTCATCCAGGCACTGGCTCCCACGCCGGCGCCGGGGGTCCCAGCATGGCTCTGGCCGGGGACACTCCCCAGGGTGCTCTATTGGAGGAGGGGACCTGGATGAGGGCAGGGGTCCCAGCCCTGCTCTCACTTTACTGTCCCGTGCTGGTGGCCGGGCTGCCGCGCTCACCTCGGGCAGGGCGGGTGCAGCACATGGCACAGCCAGAGAAGCAGCACTTCTCCTGCCGGGGACAGTCCCTGTCGTGGGCGCAGGAGTCCTTCTCCAAGCACGGTTCAGAAATCTGCTGTGGCCTCACCTTTGGGCACTCACCAGGTTTGTCTGAGATGGGAAGGAAGGGGCAGCAGGGGCAGGGACCACACCATGCTGTGGGCACCCCCTTTTTTTGCAGCCTCGGGGCACTGTGAAGGCTGCACCCTGGGGGTCTGAGCAGCTGCCCTATGGCAGCACCATCCCACATCTTTCCCCCAGGAGCTTTGACATGCCTGGTGTGTGACAACCCTGTCCTGGTAACCTTTTCCTCACCTGGTTCGGGGGCCAAGCACACAGGGCCACATCTGCTGCTGCTGCAGCACTTCTCAGCCCCCGGGCACTGCCAGTCCCGGATGCAAGTGGTGCCACATGGGGATGTGGCCAGCGGAGCCTCCTCAGCCAGCGGGCAGATGCCTGGTTTTTCTAGGGGCAGGAGGCAGCAGTGCTGGGTGTGCAAACAGCAGCAGTGGGTCTTTCCCACCCAGTCCCCCAGTCCCTGGAGCTGGGGGACACCTCTGCCTGTATCTGGCACCTTGGGACGGGGGCAGGCAGACATAGTCGCAGCCGCTCAGGCAGCACTTCTCCTTGCCGGGGCACTCGTCATCATGCCAGCACCAGGCTCTGCAGTCATAACTGGGGAACAGCCCAGCATAGGCTGGGCAGAATCCATCCTTCCCTGTGGACATGGCATGGGATGGCTGCAGTGCCACTCTTTAGAGGCACAGCCACGGGGACCAGGGTGTGTGGGGTTGTTGAACCTCTGGAGCAGCTCCTGGCCCCCTCACCTTGACCACGTGCTGGGCACCGCTGGCTGCACATCTGGTGACAGCACACATGGGATGGGGGACAGTCCTGGTCCTGGAGGCACCCCCACTGGTGTGGCAGTGGCCGTTGGGTGGCTGGGACAGGGCTGGTGTCCTCTGCACCGTGGACCAGGCGAGAGC